ATTAACATGTTTATATGTAATTTTTTAAAAGAATAATGGTGGTTATGGCAGAGTATTCATTGGAAGTATGTATATTTTTGGTTATTATAAATTATATGGTGCTAATTGTTTCCATAGTTTGTATCATCTTCATTTTTGAAATATAAGAATCATCATCTTTACCTGATAAATCCTTATGTATTATCTTAGCTGATTGTGTAAAAATATGCTATCATGAAACATTAAAGATTAGAATATTATAACATCTGAAAATGAGATCCTAAAAAAATTTTTTTACTAACCTTCATTTGCATCATAATCTCAATTGTTGTGGGAGCTGTATCAAGATTGTAAAAATTGCAAGGTAAAAAAAATTTTCCAACATGTATAATACGATAAACCGCCTCATATTTCAAATCCATTATATAGAAAGAACATTGGAAACCTATTATTTAAAAAAGCATAGTTTAGATTATATCCATTAATCATGTTCATTCAAGTCATGTCTCTTACCTTCCACTAACAATCCACATACACGTAAATTATTACAACAAATTCCATCTTCAGCAGCTTTATCAAGAACATCTTTTAGTTCGTTTCCCAATTTAACTAAATCAGCGAAAACCTTGTTTGGTGGTTTGACTTCCACAACTAATAAATCAACTTTTCTATTTTTGTAAGAATAGCTAACAGAAAAATCTGGTATTCTGCCTCTTAGTGATGGGTCAAACTTCTTTTTCCTATGAGCAGATGCTTCTAAAACATCAGTTGACCTGAAAAATGTTAATTAACAAGGTCAATAATTGTCATTGAAACACATATTAAAAGCTATTACACAAAACATAATTACCATTTGAGTTTTATATTTGCAGTGTCTTGGTAAAAAGCTTTTAATACAGATTCCAATGCCTTGTGAACAAAGGAATCTTCCTTTATGTTTTTATCTGTGTCCACTGAAAGACTATTATGACTACAACATAGTAAACAAAATTAATAGAATTAATTCAGATAGGCAATAATATAATATGCTTGTAAATATTCACATTGACTCAAAGAATTCTAAAACCAAATCATGTTCATTATTTTTCATTGTTTTTTGCCATTCTCTAATACATGGCATAAATTCATTGAAGTTTTTATTGGCAATCTGATTAAACAAACATTTTTGTCAAATCAAAGAGAATAAAGATGATTATAACGAGATTTTTTAAAAAAGTTTTGCCTTAGATATTTTATGACACCTCACAACATCATGTTCTGAAAGCTCAAGATATTCAATTTCACTTCTGATGTTGTTAAAAATATCTTCCCATATAGCTTTATCAAAATATTCATGAATTCCACTTGATCTATTTTCTTCAAATAAAAAAACATGATTCAAAGATCTGCAATTACCATAGACAAAGAGTAAGTGAATATCAACCCATATCAAGAAATACAGAAAATTTGTACTTACAAAATTTGAGACATTAGTTTCTTTTAGTTGAGATTTACTTGCAATACATGAATTACGGAATTCCATTAATTCAAATGTGACATCAATTGTTCCAACAATCCACTATATTATGAAGAAAAACCTTTCAGATCAAAAAATTTTTTTTTTCAAAATTAACTCATCAAATAAAATTAAAGATCAGATATTTCACATATTGCTTCTCTACTTAAATATGTTTCCTCTACTCCAGGTCCTACAAACCATTCAATTGAAAAATGATTGCTGGTTTTCTTATTAGTCAATTCATAATCACTTTCTGTTTTTAAACTTGGTTCGTAGGATCCATCATCTGAATCTTCCAATTCAGATTCTGACTGATATTCAGCATCTTGTTGGCAGTCACTTTGAATAAAACAAAAATAATAAATATGTGTGTGTTAATCAATTATAGAAAATAAAAGATAATTGCAATGTATGTCTAATCTTACATTCGTAGATTCTTGTTATTATCATCATTCTAATTATAAATCGTTGATTAATTAATTTATTTTAACTATTTGTTTATATTTATGTATTAAATACTTACAATAATTAAAGGTCTACGTTGAGATAATTTCCTTTTAGGCCGATTTTCCTAGATTAAAAATTTTTTAAAAGTTGTGAAAAATGGAGAGCATAGATTGACAAATAAGTTAATCAATTAATATACATATGGAATCATTGAATTAAAGACTAGTGCCATAAATTATGATGATGGTAGTAATTGTATTTACGGCATATAAATGGCGGTTGCAATTACCTTTGCAACCACTTTTGCAACCATACTCTTTCCTTTTTTGGATTATGGCACTAGTCTTTACATTGAATTTTCATCATTATTAGAGTAGGTTCGTCTAAAGGATAGAAGAAGTAAAAAAATTAAATTAGAACTATATATAAACTAGAGTAACAATGAGCGGCGGGCGATAACCACCACCACCACCCTTAAAACACTTACCCAGCGACACCCGAATCATTTTTTTGCTTCTCTTATTGTAGTCTTTACATTGAATTTTCATCATTATTAGAGTAGGTTCGTCTAAAGGATAGAAGAAGTAAAAAAATTAAATTAGAACTATATATAAACTAGAGTAACAATGAGCGGCGGGCGATAACCACCACCACCACCCTTAAAACACTTACCCAGCGACACCCGAATCATTTTTTTGCTTCTCTTATTGTTTTCTTTTGGCATGTTTAAATAAAATGAAAGTTTGTTATTTGATCGACGCTGAATTACGGAATTCCATTAATTCAAATGTGACATCAATTGTTCCAACAATCCACTATATTATGAAGAAAAACCTTTCAGATCAAAAAATTTTTTTTTTCAAAATTAACTCATCAAATAAAATTAAAGATCAGATATTTCACATATTGCTTCTCTACTTAAATATGTTTCCTCTACTCCAGGTCCTACAAACCATTCAATTGAAAAATGATTGCTGGTTTTCTTATTAGTCAATTCATAATCACTTTCTGTTTTTAAACTTGGTTCGTAGGATCCATCATCTGAATCTTCCAATTCAGATTCTGACTGATATTCAGCATCTTGTTGGCAGTCACTTTGAATAAAACAAAAATAATAAATATGTGTGTGTTAATCAATTATAGAAAATAAAAGATAATTGCAATGTATGTCTAATCTTACATTCGTAGATTCTTGTTATTATCATCATTCTAATTATAAATCGTTGATTAATTAATTTATTTTAACTATTTGTTTATATTTATGTATTAAATACTTACAATAATTAAAGGTCTACGTTGAGATAATTTCCTTTTAGGCCGATTTTCCTAGATTAAAAATTTTTTAAAAGTTGTGAAAAATGGAGAGCATAGATTGACAAATAAGTTAATCAATTAATATACATATGGAATCATTGAATTAAAGACTAGTGCCATAAATTATGATGATGGTAGTAATTGTATTTACGGCATATAAATGGCGGTTGCAATTACCTTTGCAACCACTTTTGCAACCATACTCTTTCCTTTTTTGGATTATGGCACTAGTCTTTACATTGAATTTTCATCATTATTAGAGTAGGTTCGTCTAAAGGATAGAAGAAGTAAAAAAATTAAATTAGAACTATATATAAACTAGAGTAACAATGAGCGGCGGGCGATAACCACCACCACCACCCTTAAAACACTTACCCAGCGACACCCGAATCATTTTTTTGCTTCTCTTATTGTTTTCTTTTGGCATGTTTAAATAAAATGAAAGTTTGTTATTTGATCGACGCGTACACATTAACTATTTATCCTATTGGTTTTTTTTTTCTGGTAGGACAGACACGAATGATTTTTTTTTTGGGGAAAAACAAAAAAAAATTTATTTTTTGACAGAGTCCAAGGTGACAAAACGTGAACGTTGTTGTTTGGTTTGGGTCTCCTAAAGAAAAGGTGTTAATAACTAACCAGAGGTACTACTTTTTTTTACTTGTATTGATATTTTTGGTTATTATAAATATTTTAATTGGAAATCAAAACGCGGAGCAGATCATTGCTGGGTAATTACAAGATTTTCATTGATAATAATAATACTTTGCTTTTCGTAATCGTAATAATAATAATACTATTATTATTATTATTACAAGATGTCAAGGCAGCATTGACTGTTAAATAAGAAACATTTCAATATGCAATGTTTGATTATCGAAAATTGACAGGTGTTGAAGCACACACACTACCTTGAACACACTACAGTCATTCTCACGTATTCCTTGTGTTCAAAAGGCTAATCTGACCAAGATTTCCATGATGATACAATAATGCTACTGAATTCCAGGGGGGGGGGGCGCATGGCCCTGAAGTTTATCATGATTGCATCAATCGTCAAAGACACTTTCACTAATCTTCCCAGATCAGAGATGGCTGCTGGCACGCTAGCCGAAAAGTCACCTGCAACGATTCCACCTCTAGGGTAAGGGTGGCACTGTGACCAAGCTGTTGCAACTCTGGAGGAATATTAAGAGAATCTGCAGCTCGTTTCAAGCACAGGAGGTCACAATTCAGAGCAGGGTTGGTGGCCCTGAAATTGCTTTTGGGCTCTGATGTTAAGAGAAAAGTTGTAAAATAGTGTTTGTTTGTATAATCACTTTCCTAAATTCTTTGTTTTTTTGATTCTAACCAATTTAATAATTTTGGATATGGGACTGGGATGGGTTTTTGCCCAATCAGTCCCCTGTCCTGTAGGTTAAAATTATCACATGATTATATACATCTTTGTCAGCAATGTGGCCAATGAGAAAAAGTCATAAATGGTTTGGATTTTGGTACGTTATGTACAAATTAAGCATTTTCATAAATACTCTGTTTCTCTTTAATTTTTATCTGACCAACTGAATTTGTTATTTAAATAAATGGGGGTAGGGTTGTTGGCAAGTAGGCATGCCACAAACAAGACTGAGGATGCCTTTGGGATATACCAGCCAAACTCATAGAAAGGATCTTTTGTCCAGACTTTGGGCCACATGGATGTTAAGCACAGAAAATGTACACTATCAATGTATATTTTTTTCAACAAAATAAACATTTAAATAA